TGTTCCCTTGGTATCTCTAATTTTCTTGAAGAGATCTCTAGTCTTTCCCATTCTATTGTTTTCCTCTATTTCTTTGCACTGATCACTGAGGAAGGCTTTCTTATCTCTCCTTGCTATTCTTTGGAACTCTGCATTCAGATGCTTATATCTTTCCTTTTCTCCTTTGCTTTTCACTTCTCTTCTTTTCACAGCTATCTGTAAGGCCTCCTCAGACAGCCATTTTACCTTTTTGCATTTCTTTTCTTGGGGATGGTCTTGCTCCCTGTCTCCTGTACAATGCCACGAACCTCTGTCCATAGTTCTCCAGCACTCTGTCTATCAGATCTAGTCTGTTAAATCTATTTCTCGCTTCCACTGTATAATCATAAGGGATTTGATTTAGGTCATACCTGAATGGTCTAGTGGTTTTCCCCACTTTATTCAATTTAATACTGAAAGTTAGGTATAATTCCCATTCCTAACAGAAACAGACATCAAAGGGAAACTTATGGGCTGGCTGAGAAACCTATAGGTCAATTTTATATGGACCACAAAGCCCAGGGACCAACAGGATATCAGACTATAAGAACAATGGTCCAGGTTGCTTGGGATTGATTTGTAAGGTTGTTACACGGACAAGAAACAATAATCAAGCAGGCGTGAATTAGCTGTGCTGGCAGGCAAATAAATATGAAAGAATCTATTTTTTAAAAATAAAGACATAACAAAATTGAGACAAATAAGTGGAATTTGACAGTAGAAGAAAAGGAAAAAAATAGAAAAAAGAAAAAAAATCTTATATGCTCACTAAAGAGAATGAAAAAATTGAGAAAAGGAAAAAAAGGGGGAAAAAAACCACTTACTCCAAATCCACTATCCAAACATAATCAAAATTTATATTTTATTTCTTTCTAATCTTCTTTTTCCTATTTCATAGCATTTGTTTTAAACATAATTAGGCTGTATAAAAATTCTGCAGGCTGCTTTTCCCACCATCTAATATATCAATTTCCCATGATACATACTTTCTATAAAAATTTTCATTGGATCAACATAATAACACGTCAAAGAAATATTTCAGAACTTCTTAATGATGACATTTAAGCTATTATTAGTCAATCCTAAAGGAAATCAATCCTGAATATTCATTGGAAGGAGTGATGCTGAAGCTGAAGCTCCAGTACTTTGGCCACCTGATGCAAAGAGCTGACTCACTGAAAAAGATGCTGATGCCTGGAAAGACTGAAGGAGAAGGGGAAAGCAGAGGATGAGATGATTAGACAGCATCATCAACTCAGTGGACAAGAGTATGAGTAAACTCCACGAGACAGTGAAGGACAGGAAAGCCTGGTGTGCGTCCATGGGATCAAGAAGCGTCGGACATGACTTAGCCATTGAATAACAACAATAACAAGCTATTACAATTAAATAACATTGCAGAATCTGTCTTTTCTTTACAAAGCTCTCTGTATTTAGACTTATTTCTTTAGAATACTCCCATAATAGAGTTACTAGGCCAAGGAAGTAGAAGTAGAAATATTACAAGGCTCTTAATATTTAAAGGCCAAACTGTCTTCTAGAAACTGTCAAAAACCTGCTCTTTGTTGAGTTCATGTGTCAACTGATTCAAAGGGGAGTCAACAGGCCTGAGAATGTTATTTGAAAAAACATTTTTTAGAAAATATGAAAACTGATTGACTTACTTTTGCACTTTATGGTGACCGATGATGAAAGAAACCTTCCGGCTCCATGGGTTCACGAAGCTGGACCAACTGGAGTCCAGTATGATGTAATCCCCATGTAATCCCCCAAAATCTAATGGGCAGGTGTTCAAAGGGAGGATGGCCGGCATACTTCAAGACTACGTAAAACAATAAGACAGAAGTTATTTAACATGAATGTTTGTTACAAATGCCTCTCTTAAGGCACTTATTTGTAAATGTTTGAAAATATCAGAATAAAAAAAAAATATTGTTTCAATAGTTTCCACACACTGTTTTCTTGATTAAAGGTAAGATTCTGATGATTAAGGGGCTTCCCAAGTGGCACTCATGGCACTAGTGGCACTGCTTGCCAATGCACAAGAGATGGGTTCGATTCCTGGGTTGGGAAGATCCCCCAGGGGAGTAAATGGCAACCCACTCCAGCATTCCTGCCTGGAAAATTACATGGGGGTGGGCTACAGTCCAGGCGGCTGCACAGGACGGGGTGACTGAGCACTTCTAATGATATTAGTGCTTGAGAGTAGCTCTAGTGAGAAATGAAATGAAAAATTTAAGAAGATCAGTGGAAAAAAAAAAAAATGCCCTCCTGTAAAGAAGCAGGTGCTTACCTTTTTGGTGCACGGCAAGCATCAGAGAGCGATCTTCTGGGTGCAGGTACGCTAGGATGGATGTCCCGATCAGGTCCTGAGGTAGGTAACCCAGGAAAGGCAAGGCCCTGAGCACAGACACAGCACAGGTGGCATGTCACTCGCAGCAAGTGACTGTTGTACCTTACGCACTTTCAACATTACTTTTCAGATAAACTCTAAATATGAAGAAAAGGTATGCAGAGATGTTCATTACAGCATTTTTAAAAGCTCCAAGCAACCTGAGTGCCTATACTGTGGGGAAAGGGTTAACACAACCTAAGAAGCATTGGTTACCAGAGGTGTTGCATCAAAATCACCTACCAAACTTCCAAAAACCAGATTTGCAGGCTCACTGCTTCCTAAATCAGCGTTTCTGGGGTGAGACTAGGAGTCTATACTTTTCACAAGTTCCACAGAGGTCTCAGAGGGCTCCCCTGGTGGCTCAGGCAGTAAAGAGCCCACCTGCAATGCAGGAGAACTGTGTTTGATCCCTGGGTGGGGAAGATCCCCTGAAGAAGGGAATGGCAACCCATTCTGATATTCTTGCCTGGAGAATTCCCATGGACAGAGGAGTGGTGGGCTACAATCCATGGGGTCACAAAGAGTCAGACATGACTGAGCAACTAACATTATTCACTTTTTCAGAGGTCTCTTGAGGCCCTCTATTTCACTGCCTTTTAAAAAGTCTACAAAGATCATATTATAACATAGAAAAATGCTTATCATGTTAAATGAAGAAAGCAGGTTATAAATTTATACAGAGTATTTAAAAGCATACAAAAACAATGTCTCCCAAACAGTAGTATCAAATAGAGGACCAGTCACAGAGACATTTGTAGGATAAATGTTCATAAGAAAATTCTAATGACCAGACATTCAAGATGACTTAGAAAAAAACTGACTCTGTAAACATTTTCTATGTGTATAAATTCACAAATACTTTCTTTTTCTCATTTATATATAAGAAAGAAAGAAAGAAAGAAAGAAAGTGAAGTCGCTCAGTCGTGTCCAACTCTTTGCAACCCCATGGACTGTATGTAGCCTGCCAGGCTCCTCTGTCCATGGGATTTTCCATTTCCTGCCTTCCATTTCCATTTTCCATGGGAGTAGGTTGCCATTTCCTTCTCCAGGGGATCTTCCTGACCCAAGGATCAAACCCAGGTCTTCGGCATTGCAGGCAGATGCTTTACTGTCTGAGCCACCAGGAAGCTCATGTATATATAATCTTTGTTATTTTTTGCCACACCCTCATGATATTCAGTATCTTAAGTTTCTCAACCAGGGATTGAATCCACACCCCCTACAGTGCAAGCCTGGATTCCTAACCATACTTTCTAATGCAGTAAACTTAAGCTATTTTCAGAATATCTTAAGCTAAATTTTCTTACCTTGTACAGATTAAATTATACAAAGTAACTCGCTACTACTGTCTGCTGCTGTTGCTGCTGCTGCTAAGTCGCTTCAGTCGTGTCCGACTCTGTGCGACCCCACAGACGGCAGCCCACCAGGCTCCCCCGTCCCTGGGATTCTCCAGGCAAGAACACTGGAGTGGGCTGCCATTTCCTTCTCCAATGCATGGGTGTGAAAAGTGAAAGTGAAGTCGCTCAGTCGTGTCCGACTCTTCGCGACCCCATGGACTGCAGCCCACCAGGTTCCTCTGCCCATGGGATTTTCCAGCCAAGAGTACTGGAGTGGGGTGCCATTGCCTTCTCTGATTACTGTTTAGTTTCATGATAACTAAATGGTAATAAATGGATAATAAATCCATTTCCAGATGTTAAAACAACTTTTTTTAAAGCTTTCTTTTTTTTGGCCTCAATGCACAGTTTGTGGGATCTTAGTTTCCTGTTCAGAGATTGAATCCAGGCTCTCAGCAGTGGAAGTGCTGAGTACTAACCACTGGATCGCCAGGGAATTTCCTAGATGTTAAAAAATTTTTAAAACCAAAATTAATACCTACCATAACTGTGTCAAGTTTTTTTACATTTTTGCTTTATGCTCACCTATAATAAGATTGATGTATTAGTTCTCAGATTTTCAGATTTCACAAAGTAAAATTTTTACACAAGCGTGGGGGAAGATGAAGGATACGATCAGAGGATAACAATGTTTCATTTTCCCAAATAAAGTTATAAAAAAACAACAATAAGCAATGATGATTATCTACTATCACTACCTGTTAAATAACAAAGACTATTTTAATAACTAAAAAAAGTAGGTAGGACATACGTTCAAAACAAGTAACAATTCTTTAAATTAAATAAACTTAGCTTTACAAAAAAAGAAACCTGCCTTATTTTTCTTGCTCCTTTCCCCCTTTACTTCAGACTAATAAAAATTCATCATAAACTGGGAAGCACTTGCCTACAGCAAGCAATATATGTGCACAGGGCTCAGAGGCCAGAGTCTAGGGCTCATTTTGACCATAATTATATACTATGTGGGCTTCCCTGGGGCTGCAGATGGTAAATACAATGCAGGAGACACAGCTCCGATCCCTGGGTCGAGAAGATCCCCAGGAGAAGGGAATGACTACTCATTCCAATATTCTTGCCTGGAGCATCTCATGGACAGAGGAGCCTGGTGGGCTATATATAGTCCATGAGATTGCAAAGAGTTGGACACGACTGGGGGACTAACACTGATATACAATGTGTCCAAGGTTCACTGTCCTCTTGGGCAGTACATAAAAATAATTTCTGACTTACCTAAAGCTTTAAAATCAAATATGATAACTTGTAAATCTTAGAAGTATAACAAGCAAGATACGTTAAAATTTTAGACGACACAAATTCAAACTGACAAACATCAAATGGGCAAATGGATAGATGTCATTATGTAGATGTGCATTAAACATAAAAGTTTTAAATATTTTAATTTATTTTCCAAAACAAATTTCTTTTAGGCTTAAAGAAGTACTTACCTTCCATCTATTTCAAGAAAAACACAACCAGGAGTATGTGTTGTGGTAAAAATTCGTTTATCTGCTGGGATTTGAGGAGCTGTGAAGAAGAGAAAGACTCGTTTTAGAGACAAATATCTAATTAATTATCCACTTAACATATTAAAAAGGCAACAAACTCTACATGATACGACAGAAATCTCACTTAAGGGGCAGGCCTTTGAGCAGCCAAATCTAATAATTTTCATTATTAACTATATTTTAATTAGGTCAAAAGGTAAAACCTGTGGGATTCTCTGGTGGCCCAGTGGTTGCGAATTTGCCTTATAGTTCAGGGAACATGGGTTTAACCTCTGGTCCAGGAACAGCCCACGTGCTTCGGAGCAACCAAACGCAGGAGCCGTAACTACTGAACCCTCCTTGAGAGCCAGCCCATGTGCTACAGACTGAAGCCCATTCACCCGGCGCCTCTGCTCCACAGCAAGAGAAGCCACCAGAATGAGAAGCCCGCGCACAGCAACTAGAGAGGAGCCCCGCTTGCCACAACCAGGGGAAGCCCTCGCGGCAACAGAGACCCAGCGCAGCCCAAAATAACAAATACATTTTTAAAAAGTAATACCTACTCAAGTTAAACACAGAGAAAGTCTGTGTACATTGAAGAGTTTATTCATCCCAAGTAATCCAACAATGAAACCCAGAATAATTTAGAATTCAGGATGGAAATGTTTTATTATACTTAGAGGTTGCAAAATGTGGTCCACTGGAGAAGGGAATGGCAAACCACTTCAGTATTCTTGCCTTGAGAACCCCAAGAACAGTATGAAAAGGCAAAAAGATAGGACACTGAAAGATGAACTCCCCAGGAAGGTAGGTGCCCAATATGCTACTGGAGATCAGTGGAGAAATAACTCCAGAAAGAATGAAGAGATGGAGCCAAAGCAAAAACAACACCCAGTTGTGCTTGTGACTGGTGATAGAAGCAAGGTCCGATGCTGTAAAGAGCAATATTGCATAGGAACTTGGAATGTTAGGTCCATGAATCAAGGCAAACTGGAAGTGGTCAAACAGGAGATGGCAAGAGTGAATGTCGACATTCTAGAAATCAGCAAACTAAGATGGACTGGAATGGTGAATTTAACTCAGATGACCATTATATCTATTACTGTGGGCAGGAATCCCTTAGAAGAAATGGAGTGGCCATCATAGTCAACAAAAGAGTCCAAAATGCAGTACTTGGATGCAATCTCAAAAACAACAGAATGATCTCTGTTTACTTCCAAGGCAAACCATTCAACATCATGGTAATCCAAGTCTATGCCCTGACCATTAACGCTAAAGAAGACGATGTTAAACAGTTCTATGAAGACCTACAAGACCTTTCAGAACTAACACCCAAAAAAGATGTCCTTTTCATTATAGGGGACTGGAATGCAGAAGTAGAAAGTCAAGAAACACCTAGGGTAACAGGCCAATTTGGCCTTGGAGTACAGAATGAAGCAGGGCGAAGGCTAATAGAGCTTTGCCAAGAGAACACACTGGTCATAGCAAACACCCTCTTCCAACAACACAAGAGAAGACTCTACACATGGACATCATCAGATGGCCAACACCAAAATCAGATTGATTATATTCTTTGCAGCCAAAAATGGAGAAGCTCTAAATAGTCAGAAAAAAACAAGACCGGGAGCTGACTATGGCTCAGATCATGAACTTATTGCCAAATTCAGACTTAAATTGAAGAAAGTGGGGAAAACCACTAGACCATTTAGGTATGACCTAAATCAAATCCCTTACGATTATACAGTGGAAGTGAGAAATAGATTTAAGGGACTAGATCTGATAGACAAAGTGCCTGATGAACTGACATTGTACAGGAGACAGGGAGCAAGATCATTTCCAAGAAAAAGAAGTGCAAAAAGGCAAAATGGCTGTCTGAGGAGGCCTTACAAATAGCTGTGAAAAGAAGAGAAGCGAAAAGCAAAGGAGAAAGGGAAAGATATAAGCATCTGAATGCAGAGTTCCAAAGAAAAACAAGGAGAGATAAGAAAGCCTTCCTCAGCTATCAATGCAGAGAAATAGAGGAAAACAATAGAATGGGAAAGACTAGAGATCTCTTCAAGAAAATTAGAGATACCAAGGGAACATTTCACACAAAGATGGGCTTAATAAAGAACAGAAATGGTATGGACCTAACAGAAGCAGAAGATATTAAGAAGAGGTGGCAAGAATACTCTGTATGCAGGTCAGGAAGCAACAGTTAGAACTGGACATGGAACAACAGACTGGTTCCAAATAGGAAAAGGAGTCAAGGCTGTATATTGTCAGCCTGCTTATTTAACTTATATGCAGAGTACTAATGATTATATAACAACAATGTATCTTGCTCCAGGACATGTTCCTCCTTCTTAACAAGCACCTTCTGACTAATCTTGTTATCTTAAGATGTATGTTATCTTAAGATTGTGTGAGTGGGTCTGATAAGACCTTTCTATTGTTTTGATCTTACTAATTTAAGAGGTATGTTGTGGGAGTGGGTCTGGTGAAAGTATTTAAGGCATTGGTAAGACTAGCAAGCAGAGCACTCTGTCACCTTCTGATGTCTATGTGAGAAGCTTTCTCTGTCCTTTTTCACTGTAATAAAGCTTCTGCTACACAAACATTCTTGGGTGATCAAGCTTGGTCCCTGATCCTGAAGCTAAATCTTCTTTGGAGATCACAAATCTGACATCGCTCACTGTAAGCTACCAAGATGTCAGTACAATATGGACATTTTTAATCTGTAATAAAGTTGGCGTGGTCAGTTCTGCTATAGCCCTCTTGGAAAACGCAGTTGTCAAACATTAGGGGATGATTTGGGCATGCTGCAATCTGCATTTGCTTAGGCAGGATTTCATTTTTAAGGAACAAAGGTGAGTGTAGAAAAGAGCACCTAGTTGAATGGAGTCATTTAGGAACACAGAGAAGCCTGCACACACATGAAATATCTAGCTGCTGTGTCTGTGCACCAGGTGGCCGTGAGCCATGCTGTCCAACCTGGTGATGGAAATCTCCGTCTGATTTCAGATGACTTCCGTTCCAGCACTCATAGTAACGCACGAGCTGCGGCCCGTGCAACACCTGTGTCCACAGCAAACTGCAAGGCTTTTCCACAGTGAAGAGCTGCATTTATTGTAACATTTGTGCATTTCTTAGTCATTTATTATGTAATGCTGTGTTACCATTTTATGAGACTCCCATCTTATTTTGTGTTATTTTAAATTTTTAATGTACTGAGTGTTGTGCCCCTAAACTCATTTTTCCCTAAGCCCTGTGATTTGTGTGAATTTTTTTTGCACAGGATGATAAAGTCCAAAAAAGCATGTGTCATGTTACAAGCAGAATGGACTGTAATTTCAAAATATAATGAATGGAAGCTGCTTCTATACTGATATGTGAATTTAGCAATATAGTTACGCCATCAGAAAACAAACTACGCTGTTTACTTGGGGGGAGGCTTTCAAAACACTTAAAAAACCTAACTCATTCTTGTGGCTTCTCTGTGCAACAGTTTCAGTGCTCCTATGTGACACAGGACAGAAGGGAAAGACCACAGGATGGTCACCAGCAGAGAAAGGACAGGAAGTCTGTGTATCTGTGGCCAAGTCTGTGCTTGGACCCGGGGCCCTGCTTCCCTGAAGGAGACACCTGCACCGGAAGTCTAGGCCAGCAGACAGACGTCAGGCAGAACGGGCTCAGGGAAGAGGCGGGCTTGCACGGGCTCCTTTCTGATGCGCGGATGCGTCACGTCTGAGCTGAACGCAGACGCTCCTGGCTTACGTTGGTAACCCGAGTGCATCTTCTCCACCAGCAAGAGACAGCAGGGCTCAGCCTCCGCGAGGGCCGAGCTATGCACATCAATCAAGTAGGGGGTGATCCGGAATGGGCAGTAAGGCCGCTGCGGCTCCCCGGCTTCATCTCCACTGAAGAAGGAAAGAGCGGTTAGTGCTGGTCATGAAGGGTCCACTTAGTCCAAGGTGAAACGTGGCCAGGGAAAATGTTCAGTAATTTTCAAGGAAGACATGTCCAAGTCTAAAACGTCTAAACGTATTTATTTACTTTTTAAAACTTATTTTGTAGTCGGGGATAGCTGATTAACAGTGTTGTGACAGTTTCAGGTGAACAACAAAGGGACTCGGCCATACATATACATGTATCCACTCTTCCCCAAACTCCCCTCCCACCCAGGCGGCCACATCACATTGAGCAGAGCCCCCTGTGCTAGACAGTAGGACCTTCTTGGTTATCCATTGTAAACACAGCAGTGTTAAACAGATTGATTTTTAAAAGAAGGGAAACGTTACTTTAAATGTTTAGTACCCAAGGGCAATGATTTGTTATTCGATGAGTAAGAGGTTTTCTGGAGACCTGGCTCATCACTCTGAGTGTGAACTGGTCAGATTCCAGCATGACTGTCCACTCCTGCTGGGAAGAGAGACAGGCACAGCCGTCCATCTCATTTCATGTGTCTAAACCAAGCATCACATAACAGGGTCCCCTGGGACCAGTGCCCCCAAGCCAGCCCCCGGGCACCCCCTCCTTTCTACATTCTTGTTCAAAGGACAGACCCAGCCCCACCACTTAAAGTTGCCCCCCTGCCTGGTGCTGGCTTGGCATTCGGCTCAGCATCACCCAGTGCCTGGTGGGGGCAACAGCAGGGCTGGAACCCTCTCCGCCACCCAGCACAGAGGCTCCTGAGGGCGGGGAGGCTCTACAACGACCCCCGAGATGTCCATCCGGTTTGATTGCCCAGCTACCGGGAAGAGGTTTCCACCTGGTTCTAACCAAATGCCCCAGACTGAGGTTCACGCTCTGTTTCTGCCATCAAGCCTCTCCTCTCTGACCATCATGAGCCCGGATGCTCAGGTGGGGTATCTGCTCGCCCAGCAGACCCACACCTACACTCACTCCCTCCCGCTTTCGCGCGCTCTGCTCCCCTCAAACTCTAGCATCTCTGGCCACTTCTCTGCACTCAGTCGGGACCCTGCTTCCTAGCTCACCGCTCAGAAGAGCGCCCTCTGCTGACACTGACCTGCCAGCACCCGTACTTCTGCCGGTGGCTCTCCTACTTCTGTGAGTGCTTTTCTGGGGTCACCTGGTCCTGGGCTTCTCAACACCACTGATACATAGATGATCTGTGCATCTGTCTCTAGCCCGGCCTTCTCCCCTGAACCCCGGGCTCCTGGACTAACACCTTGCCAGCATCACGGGGCAGATTTCTAGTTGACATCTCACACTCATCCACAACTCACCGCATGTTCCCGCCCCAATCTCCCGCTCCAATCCCCCACCCAGCATAGCCTTTCATACCCTCAGCGATATTTCCTTGTAAGAAATGGAAATGCCCTGTCTCTACCCACTGGACATTCCTGAAGCACTGGTGACCCTGTAGCAGCCACTGCCCGAGGACCTGAATCTGCGGAGCAACCATCTCTGCTGAGCCTGGGATGACAAGTCTGCCACAAAGGAAGTGTCAAAACCAACGGCGACTCTCACCGGGCCAGGAGCTAACTTTGTTAGCCTAGTTAACCAGCAGCTCCTGCCGGCCACAGAGGAACAACAGGAACACCTGGAGGCTTGACAAGAACCTTACTGTTAGGACAAGACTCTGAAATAACAATGAAGGAAAGGATAAGAGAGCTGAGGAGAGGGGGCATGAGGTGGTGGAACAGATGACACAGGCCTGGCCACGGTTATTCGTGGAAAATGCAGTACCTATCAGTTCATTGTACTAGTTTTTATATTATTTCGAAAATCCCTGAGTTTTAGAAATAATTAAGTGGCTACCCTGAATGAAACGTTTCACCCAGGAGTCAGAGTGTCCTATGGTCTCTGCCCCTGCTTCCTTGTCTTCTCCACCCTTCCTGTCCCCTTCCTCCCCAGAGCCAGGCGTGCTCTGCCCAGGGCCTCTGTACTTGCCTGGGACGTCGTCTCTCAAACACACTGCTTCCTCACCTCCTCCAGGGCTCTGGTCAGTTAGGCTTCTAACTAGAGAAGAGTTCCTTGACCACCGTGAATACACTGGCAACCTCTCCACTGCCCGGAACTCCCTTACTCAGCTCACTGTTCTACATGGAACTTAACTACAAATGACACATGTATATTTACACAGTTGTTTACTATTAGCCCCCATCCCTACAGAACACTAAGTCCATGAGGGCAGAACTTTGTTTTGGTCCTAGTACCTACTAGAGTAACAAACACATATAGCGCTTACTATCTGGCAGGCGCTGCTCTCAGATCTTCATGAACAACTCACCTGCGAGTGACAAGAGGAACCAGCACGGGCCTTCTCCCCTGTACCATTCCAGGATATCCCACCCCAATATTCGAATACTATTAGCTCAGGTCCCCCCAAGTCCATGGAGTGTCTGAATCATCTATTACAAGGACTTCTCTTCTCTAAATATCAAGGCCATTTATTAACAGTAACTTCAACACTAATGTTGGTGATTGCAATGTCATTTTAAAATGTTTTTTTCTTTTACTATGAAGGGCTCTCCCAGAGGCTCAGTGGTAAAGAATCTTCCTGCCAATGCAGGAGACACAGGTTTGATTCCTGGGAAGGGAATATCCCCTGCAGGAGGAAATGGCAACCCACCCCAGTATTCTTGCCTGGGAAATCCTACAGACAGAAGAGCTGGCGGGCTGGGGTGGCAAAAGAGTGACTGAGCGATCAAACAACAACAAACATTAACATGTCATAGTAAACTTAAAGTAGAAAAAAAATCACTAATGAATTCTACCAGAAATCAATTACAATTAAAGTTCTGATTTCTTTTCTAGTTCTCTGTCTCTGGACCTTTTAGTGAAAGTCGCTCAGGCATGTCTGACTCTTTGCAACCCCACGGACTATACAGTCCATGGAATTCTCCAGGCCAGAATCCTAGAGTGGGGTAGCTGTTCCCTTCTCCAGGAGATCTTCCCAACCCAGGGATCAAACCTGGGTCTCTCAGTTGCAGGCGGATTCTTTACCAGCTGAGCCACTAGGGAAGTCTTTAAGTCTTCTCATAAATATACCTATCTTGCTTTAAGGTTGTTCAAAGTTGCAAAAATTAATTTTAAATGTGACTGAAAAACAAAAACCAAACAAAACCAAAAAAGCCCCAGACAACAGTGGGCTTCAGATCTGAGTGATCTTTCCAGTCTTTTCTCCTATTGCATTACTATCTACTTTTCTCACAGGTACATGCATCTTCTCAGTCAAAATATAAGAACTTCTTGTAGCAAGAACCAGGTCTTGTCTTTTGTATCCACGGAAGACCTAGCTGAATACAGAAGAATCAAAATAAGTGCTAAATAAAATCAGAGGGGTAAACTTGGAACTTGGGATTAACAGATACAGACGACTATATATATAAAACAGATAAACAACAAAGACCTCCTACACAGCACAAGGAACTATATTCAATTATCCTGTAATAACCAGTAATGAAAAAGAATCTGAAAAAGAATATATATGTGAATAGTGGTGCTAGTGGTAAAGAAACCACCTGCTAAGGCAGGTGACACAAGAGATGGGGGTTGGATCCTTGGGTGGGGAAGATCCCTGGAGGAAGGCATGGCAACCCACTCCAGTATTCTTGCCTGGAGAACCCCATGGACAGAGGAGCCTAGCAGGCTACAGTCCTTAGGGTCGCAAAAAGTCAAACCCGACTGGAGCGACTTAGCACTAGCATGCACATGTGAATGGTAGCACTAGCGGTAAAGAACTCACCTGCCAATGCAGGAGATCTAAGAGACATGAGTTTGGTCCCTGGGTCAGGAAGATCCCCTAGAGGAGGGCATGGCAACCCACTCCAGTTATCCTTGCCTGGAGAATCCCATGGATGGAGGAGCCTGGAGGGCTACAGTCCACAGGGTCGCAAAGAGTCTGACACAACTGAAGTGACTTAGTATACGTAGATATAACTGAATCACTTTGCTGTACATCTGAAATACTGTAAATCAGTTCTTGTTTTTTCATGTGTGTGCTCATGTCCGACTCTGTGATGCCATGGATTTTATGTGGCCAACCAGGCTCCTCTTGAGATTCTCCAGGCAAGAATACTGGAGTGGGTTGCCATTTCCTACTCCAGGGGATCTTCCCAACCCAGGGATGAGCTATACATCAAGAAAAAATTAAAATATAATCAGAGCCTAACCCACTGCTCCTGGCCTCAGGAGCCCCCATACTCACCCAATCCTGCAGAAGAAGGACTTCACCGGTGCCAATTCATACTGTGAGGCCACTGGAAACAAAGACACCCATCAGTGTCCTGCCCTGGGTGGCTCCTCCTCAAAACATCACTAACCAAACAGGGCACTCTTTTAAGAGAGAGAGCTACTCTTAAAATAGGACTCCCCTCCCCTTTACCAAGATCTCATCCCATCCAGGATCCACCCAGGGCTTTCCTGCTGATCAGCAGCCCTCAGGAGAGGCCTTGAGAGCCACTGACGATGGCCTTTCCCTGTCATCTCCTGCAGTTCTGTCTCTTGTTACTACACCTGTCCGCACTCACTGCCTTAAACATCAACGTAGTCATCCTGTGACACAAGCATTTTGCTGGTGATATTCCATGCCATGGTAATATTGTGGACATGTCTCAAAAACTTGGAATTTAGACTACATGGAGCTTTTGGGTGTAGGATATATAGTACTTTTTTTTTTTCATTGTATTTTCTTTCCTTGGATAAATTTCCCAGAGCTGTGTACCTAAACAATATGATCATTTCATGACTCTCATAATATGTTAGCAAACTAAGTTCCAGAAAATGGTACCAGTTCAGTGTCATTAATAACATTTTCTCGGGACTTCCCTGGTGATCCAGGGGTTGAGAATCCGGCTTCCAATGCAGGGGAGTCAGGTTTGGTCCCTGGTCAAGGAACTAAGATTCCACTCACTGCAACTACTGAGCGCATGTGCTCTAGAGCCTGTGCTCTGGACAGGAGAGCCTTCGAGCCACAATGAGGACCCAGAACAATGGGAAGAAACTTTTTCCTCACAACTCTTATGCCAAAGATTCTGCTTCAGTTTTATAAACTTTTGCATTTATTTTACTGATTTATAAGGAGATAAATCAGAAACCTTTAAATTTGCCCATCTTAGAACACAGTAGGAAACTGAATCTATTCTCAAGTACTGCTGATTACTTTTGTCTGGTACATCTCCCTAATTATATATCTTGAACATTTGTTCACTGGAGTGAACAGTCCCCAGCTATAGAAACCAAGGAAATGTTTTTTAAAAATACACTGAAGGAGCATTTACAATGAGAATTCTAAAGACCCAAAACACCAAATATAGCCCAGGCATTTATATCCCTGAGGGAAGGATCATTAGCAAGAGTCAGAAACTGAACTTCTGAACAATCAAGAAAAATGTTTATGACTTTTAAAAAACCTCCAGTTTAAAAGTAAATGGACCAATGACCAAATGATCATAACTCATGAAACTATAACAGCTGCGGTCCCAGAATTCTGAAACCAGAAGTTCTTACAGAATATCCATGAGAAATAAATGAAAGAACTTGACAAAGTGAGCTGCACTGATGGCTCAGAGGTAAAGAATCTGCCTGCGATGCAGGAGACACAAAAGACATGGATTCTATCTCTGGGTTGGGAAGATCCCCTGGAGAAGGGAATGGCTACCCACTCCAGTATTCCTGCCTAGAGAATTCCATGAACAGAGGAACCTGGTGGGCAACAGTTAAAAGTGACGCAAAGAGTCGGACACAACTGAGCACAGTGAGAAAAAGAAATGAAAAAATAAGGTAAAGAAATTCATTTCTCTAAGATGTCCTGTTGTTGCAACATAAAAACTGTTTCACCCAAGGCTCATATAAATCATGGAGGAATTAAAGCAAGAGAAGGATGTTTCAAAAACATCCTTAGAGTTCTGATCTGACTTTCAGATCAGATGGGAGCCAGGCTCAGATGGGAGCCATCCTGTGGGGCCACTTTCAAGTGCTTGGCTTTGTCTGGGGCAAGGTTTCCTGCTTTAAGGTGTGGTCCCAGCAAACGAGCTGTCAAAGGGGCTCTGGATTCACGTTGTCAAGGTGAAGGCCAGCTCCATACTGACAGGCAGTGTGACACTGGCACTTCTGTGACTGTGGCAGCTCAGAAATGGCTCAGCTCTTGACTGTGGGGGACCTGACTGACACCCAAACCACCAGCCCGTGCACTGAGGGGCTCTGAGATAGGACCGCTCCATCCAGATGCCAGGATCCTCCAGCGTGTGGAGCCTGGACCCCCTTTGGGTGCCTGGCCCAGCTACTCTCTAAGCTGCGCTGTAGCCCAAGCTCCTGCCCCTAGCCCTCCTTTGCCCTTGCTCCTTCCAGCCAGGCCTGTAATGCGGGTTGAGGGCTCCTCTCAACCCCCACTCCATAATCATAAGTACCCTGCTTCTAAGCAGACCCAAATCAACACAGTTACTGTGTCGGTCCACCAGAGAAATCTTTGTGAAGGTTAACTGGGTTACTCCACTAAAGCATCAAGAAGGGATCCTGACAACCAGTAACCACTCAATAGATGACAGCAGTAAAGATAAGCCTTTATGCCGTGGATGCTCCAAACATCCCCAGGGCTTCACTTACCCACTTTACTGCTAGGTCCTCTCAGCAACCCTGTATTAACAGGCACATCAAAAACTAAGATTCTCATTTTACGATGAGAAGCCAGGTGGTCTCCAAGGTTCACGTGTCCGGTCGCTAGGTCATGTCTCTTTGTGACCCCATGAACTACAGCACGCCAGGCTTCCCTGTCCTTCACCATCTCCCAGAGCTTGCTCAAACTCTTGTCCATTTAGTTGGTGATGCCATCCAACCATCTCATCCTCTGTCACCCCCTTCTCCTTCTGCCCTCAATCTTTCCCAAGATCAGGGTCTTTTCCAATGAGTCGGCTCTTCGCATCAGGTGAGCAAAGTATTGGAGCTTCAGCTTCAGCATCAGTCCTTCCAGTGAATACTCAGGACTGATTTCCTTTAGGGTTGACTGGTTTGATTTCCTTGTAGCCCAAAGAACTTTCAAAGAGTCCAAGGTTCATGAAGGGACATAATTCAATTTGAAACTCAGACCTTCAGATTCCAAGCTTAAAATTCCTTGCACATAAAAAATACTGCAACTCTACTGTAAGGTGAACTCGCCTTTATTTATACATCAGGCATCTGAATTCACTGCATTCCCCGGGAGTCCTCAAACACAGAGAGTCAGCCTATGGGATCTCAAACAGTAGATGGGCACCCACGGTCACTTCCACACCTGGGCTGGAGTGTGCAAGTTCTTGTTGCTGAAGCTGTGTTCTAAAGAAAGAGTGGTCAGCTCCTTCTCAGAGGTCTGTATGACAAATCTAAGTGGAAACGTGCTCCAACACTGGGCCAGACTTGACAACCACTGAGTTTATATAGCTTCCTATGTCCTCTTAATCTTCTCCGAACTCAAAGGAAGGAACAGAAGGAGGTAACACGTGCATAAGCCAGGAACAGTGTGGGGGCTAAAAAATGGCTCTTGGGGAGAGTCTGGATCCTTGGGGTGCTGGGAGCCATTATGGGAGATCCCGCCCATGACGAGGTCATGAAGAAAATACTGGACAGCCAAGGCCATCCGGGACCCCATCCATGACGAGGTCATGAGGAAAAAAACCTGACAGACAAGGCCGTCCAGATATAAGGGATCCTCCAGGTTGGCCTCGGCTTCTACCCCACCCTGTATCCTCCCCGCTTTTCTGCTGTTGTTCTTGTTTGCCCTGCTGCGGATTCTTGTGTTGCCTGCCAAGAGCTCTCCTGCTCCTCTTTCACTGAATAAAGACCAACTTAAAACCCTAATTAATAAATCTCCTGGATGCTGGTACCCTATGAAGGGGCCAGGGATGAAGGAAATGCTTCAATTCAAACCCTTTTGCTGGCATTCTGGCTTGTTTGATAAATGTGTGCTCTCATTGCAAAAAATGCTCATGATTGTTCTAAACATCCTAAGCACAGTACACTACCAAAGAAACTATTAAGCATAGGCCCCTTCACGGGGTGAGAAAAGCTCCACAAATATGATAGCCACAAATGTGCCTAATAGAAAATACTTTAGATAGAGATTAGCTGGCGACTTCTTGCAGGTAGTTAACTTTTAGACTAAGAGCCTGTTTTGTGCCATATCTGCTGTTTTTGCAATCCTTTGCATTTCTGTTCTGTAAAAATGTAATCCTATCTAGTTCCCATGGAGATGACACCTAATAGAAAGAAAATAGATTAACCACAAAAAAGACAGGGTCGGCTACTGAAGTTGCTTAAAGTTGCACCAGGTGCAAGTCATAAATTGTCAACAGGCCTGAAAGCCAAAAGATATTATACACAGAGATTATCCATAAAAAAAGGCCCTAATAGGCACAGAGCCCTTTGGGGGGTGAGGAAGCCCTATTAGAGAATACAAAAAAATATTGTTTTAAAAGTGGTTATTAGATCAATGTTTGATTGATGTTAATGTGCTGAGGTTGTGCAGTGGAAACTATTGTTAATATAGTTGGAGATCTAGAAAAATAAGAGTTCAGCCCTAGTGTAAAAACAATAAGATAATTGTTCATTTTAACCAGGAGTGCTAAACAGGGGCTCCCTCACCAGAGCCGCAGAGTCTGTGTGTGCTAAACTTTTTAGATAAATTTAGCTGAGAACTTCTGCAAAAAGACTGACTTTTATGTTAACAGGATTGTATTTCTATTATGTTGCAACCTGCTGTACCATGAGACTGCCACTGTTCTGTTTTCTGCTGAGCTCAAGGCCAGAAGATAATGTACAAAAAAATCTATGGGAAAAGACTCTCATAAACAATATACAGAGCACAGCTGGTTTCGTGAAGGACAAGCTAATGGAATGTTAAACTACAGCTGTATGTTTATCTGCCCCTTAGAAATGTACCAACTTAGGGTATAAAGGTGATGGTGAAAAATAAAGCAACGGCCAGACTCTGCTGCTTATCCTGGTCTGGTCTCTCTCTCTCTTTTTCTCGCTGACGCCGTTCACCCTGAGGGTTCCCCTGGATCCTGCTGAGGCTGGACCCTGGCACTGGGGTTCCTAAGGCAAAAGTACAGTGTCAGGAGTGAATGAGATAGACACCATCTTTATGGAGCAAGTTAACGTTTAGGTGTGAAAGACAACAATTTCAGATACTAGTATGTTTTCGCAAGTAGGGGAAATATTAAGTAATTAGCAAAGATAAGAAGGTGAAAAAATCAGACAGAGACTGTAGGGCAATACTGAAGGGTAA